TAGTAAAGAGAGAGAGAGAGAAAAAGAGAGAATAAAGAGTAGTGGAGAGGAGAGGAGTGGAGAGGAGAGGAGAGGAGAAAGCTGTTTCTTCGACACGCTTTTTACGCTTGAAAGCTTCGAAATCGTTCGATCGACAACGTATGACTTATATTTTATCTTTTACTATGTTTCTCTCTCACTCTTGAAATCTTAATATATTCAGATATAAAGCCCATATATACTGGTGTCAGGACGACAACAAGTAACCAAAACCTTGCAAAGTTTCGTAATTGTTCGTCCAAAGTCAACTCGATCTACCGCCAAGCCGACAACTTTCGTAATTACCTACCGACCTGGATATAAGATATACGAGTCTGTACCTTGATACCATTCTCTCTCTCTCTCTCTCTCTCTCACTCTAATACTCTCTCAATCTCTCTCTTTTAAACTATCTCTTGCTCTCTGTATCTTGCAACTCCAAACCACCACCAGTTTCCAATCGTTTAAGAAGAACGCGCCTTTGCAAATCCGTTTCGGCGTCATTGCACCTATCGGTTTTCGCTCTTAAACTGCACATCGTGTTTCGAGAACATCTTTGAATGAACACAACTGAATGTTCAATGTTTCTACATTTGAATAAAGGAATCACCAAATTTAACGCGGTCTATATTTATATTAGAATATTCATCAATGTTTGAATAAAAATCATTCATTAGAATTTACGTTTGAAGAGACTTTTGTAATGTGAAAAATGTGTGTTGTTTAAAAAAAAGTATGATTTTTGTTAATGATTATGAATATTATTGTTTAATGTTTTATATCAAGGATCATTTTTTTCCTAAATTGTTTATATAATTATTTAGGTTGACTTTTGGTTGAATATAAATAATATAAAAATTGTAACGCAATGATACGTGGATTAATCCACGTAGTGGTTGGTAGTAGTTATGCACGGTTTTCTAAGATATTAATCGATTTTGAAAAATAACGCGAGAATTTGAAAGAAAAAGAGAGGGAAAAGAGATTGAAACGAGTACCTACCCTGAATATTTTCAAGGATTCCGAGTGAATAAATCTGAAGATTGGCTGCTCTACGTTAGACTGAGCTCCTTCAACGAGTTGTTATGAAATTGTTCTACTATGAGAGAAGGAGCAGCTCTACTTCGACATGACTGGTCCCTAAATGGTTGTTCCCCCTTTTTCGAAAGTAAATCGTGATCGAGACATTTCCAGAATAAAATATTCCGAAACTTTTTCAATGTAATTACGATTCCCGTTGAAAATTTTTCTAAATTTCGTAATAATATGAAAACAAACAATTTTCGATATATGAAATATGGAATATATATATATATATATATATATATATATATATTTTTTAAATCTTATGCATTATATATATAAAGCGAACGATTTAAATTAAATTCAAATGTAAGGATTAAAATTGATGAAAAATTAAAAACAACAAAACCAAAAAAATTAGATGAAAATTGAATCGAATTCGATCGATACCATGCATGTTTCTCTTTCTCGTTCTCTTCCTCTTTCACGTAGTTGGAACGTTACCAACCAGGATCATGCGAATGCAACAGAGAGAGAGAGAGAGAGAGAGAGAATGAGAACGAGAGTGCGTGATTTGTCGTCAGAGATATAGAAGTGATTTACGATATCCGAGCAAAAGTGCCGCCACTATGGCCACGAGTACCGCGACGTTATTTCCGCTTACAAGCTAGTAACTTCGTTTACAAACGATATCGCGATTTTCTTCGAGATATCTCTCTTTCTAGTATCGAATTAAATATATATTTTTTCTTTTTTTTTTTCTAATTTGTTTTTAGATACATAAGTACTTATATGAACTAACAAATCATCTTATCTAACTTTCAACGAGATATCTCTGACTATATTACTTAATAGATTTCACATTAAAGAGAATTTCAAAAGATTACTGCATTTATATATATATATATTTTTTACTTATCCTCATTAAATGATGTAATATGATGTTCATATTTTTATATATAAAAAAGAAAATATATTAAACTTTATGAGTAATTTTCGCTACAACTCAAAGACCGTCCCGTCAACGATATCTTTTATCCTAATAATATCATCTGAGATAAATTTTACATTAAAGTGAATTTTTTCAAGAATATCATGTAAAAAAGAAAAAAACAAAATAATAAAATTATTTTTCTCACTTATATTTATTACATCTTACTCATTAGGATGTATATAAAAAAATATATCCTACTATTTACTATATACGACAAAAATTAACTAATTTGGAAAAAGTTTACCAAATAAATTTATTCCTTTGATAAAAAAGCAAGCTTTAAAAGAAATCTTTACGAGATATTTAAAAAAAAAAAAAAATAATATAAAAAAATAAACTAAATAAAAAACGAAAATTTATTAGTAATTAGATTGCACGTAAAAAAGTAGAACGGAAAAAGACGCATCATGAGATTATCGTTGAGAGGAAAGTAAACCGATAATCTCGCCATCGTTGGCTGCTAAGTCTTGGAACTTGTGGCATGAGAGTACCGGAACTGCAACCACGAGTTTCTGCCCGTAATAATTTCCTTTTCGCTCGAGCTCCTCCTCCTCCTCCTCCTCCTCCTCTTCTTCTTCTTCTTCCTCCTCTTCTTCTTCTTCCTCTCTTTCTCTCTTTCCCTCTTTTGCTATTCAAGTTTTTCTTCGATCTCCGGTTAGGAAGTCACCGAACCGAGTTGCCTCAAGTTTTACGTAAAATACAATCAAGCAGGTGCGGTACCTTGTCGAGAGGGCTCTTCTTTTAGCAATTTTCTTCTCCTTTTTCCTTCGATTTAACCGCTTCTCGTTATACCGATAAACGCATTTTTTAATACCAAAAACCCCATACTATGATAATATAGTATCGACACGATCAACCATGGCAGCACCACTTTGAAAATAACTTTCGAGATTTTTGTTCAGTTGTTTAATTAATATTTTTAAAACCACCTTTCCCTTTCCCTTTCTCTCGTACTTTCTTCTCAAATTTGTACACGCAGTTACGGAACGATTTTATAAATGATCATCACTTGGATAAAATATTACTTTCTCTTATTTTCTTTTGTTTTGTTTTGTTTTACCTTTTTCATTAATCAAATTCATCAAACAATACGCGAATACGTTCCTTTTTGCGCCAAAGCAGAATTTTAACAGTGAAAATCTACAATATTTACATTAAAATTTATTCATGCTTATGTAGTTTGATACTGTATATCTGTTTCTCATTTTCCCGTTCTATTTCAATTCGATATTTTATGATTTATTATGTTTAATGTGTTTAAAAAGCATACGACGATAAATCAATCGTCATTTTCTCAAAAGTGTTTTGTGATATAGAATACAATTTTATTGACTTATAAATTAACATTGTACTTATACAATTATTATTAACTTTATTAATGAAGATTGATAAAATTATACCTAGTAAGTAAAGAATACTAATTCATGTTAGTAAAATATAATTAAGGTTCAATAAAACAAATATAAAAATAAAAACAACATATTACGAAATGATAGAAAATGAAATTCATGACAAATGTAGGTATTCAAATAATTTCGTTGGAAATTGTTGTAAAAAATAATAATAATGTTTACTATAAAATTATTTGAACAAATGAATGGAAAACGATACATATATATATATATACATCCTTTCATGATATTTCAAAAGATTAATTATTAATATAAATACAAAATGAAGACATTCATTGATGCAATAATTAATTGTTCGAAATTCATCGGTCTCATTTTCGTGAGTTGTTGAGTCCGTACGATAAACAACTTTTGAACTTCCCAATTAATTGAGAGAGAGAGAGAGAGACTGATCTTATCATTTCGTTTCATTACCTGTCCAATCATAACGTGATTGCCTTTCGACCCGATAACGTGTATCGATTTGAACCGAATAAAAAGAAAAAAAAAAAAAAGGAAATTTAAAAAACATTATGTCGAACGAAATTTTCGACACACACACACACACACACACACAAAATAAAACAAAGAAAAAGAAAGAAAAGTAAAGTAAAAGCCAATAAAGTATT